ATATTTTTGTTTTAAGATTTAAAGATTGTTTTATAGCAATAGTTTCATAGGTTCATTCAGCCTCCATGGATCCAGAAAGTCTAGAGTCCATGAGAATTTTAAATTCTGTTGTACATCCTCCCTCCCCCTTTTGATCAGTGTCTTAGGCTGGTTCTCTGGAGAAGCAAAACCTATGAAGTACGTGTGTGTGTGTGTATGTGTGTGTGTGTGTATGTGTGTGTGTGTATATATATATATATACACACACACACACAGAGGGTATTGTTCCACATTTGTGTGTGTCTGTGTATGTCTGTATAGAGAGATTTATCTTAAGAAAATGGCTCACATGGTCCATGGGTGAGATGTCAGACTAGAGGCTTCTCCTAACTCATGTAGCTGCAGGGGCTGATGAACCCAAGATCAGTAGATCAGATGATAGGCTGCTGGCTCACAGGCTGTGGAGGCTAACACATCCTAAGATTGGCAGGCAATACAAAAAGCTGCTGGCTCAAGTCCAAAGAACCAGAGGTCAGATGCTGACAAACCAGATGCAGGATCCAGACTGAGCAAAAAGAGCACTTTACCAGAATGTCCATATATATTGGATGTAAGCCACACCTCCTAGGAAACTCCCTTTCAATTGATTGGATGCTCATAGCAGATCTCATCATGGAGGTGATTACCTTATATCAGATCTCATCATGGGGGTGGCTACATCATTTCATAACTGCCAAACCACTGAGAATCATGGCCCAGTCAGGTTGACACACAATCTTAATCATTACAATATACCCCTTGTCAACATGGCACCTGCATACATCTCGTTAGATCACTCATAACCTCTAAATAAAGACAATTATAAAGTCATACTTGCACCGAACAAGGTAAAACAACTAACATATGTACAGCTGAAAATGCACTGGCTCCATTTACATCTTATATTTTATAAGTGAAGAAAACAAAAATATTTGATGCACACATGCAAAGAAGAAATATTCATAACAATTGCAGTCCTTGTCTATGTAACTGGTTATATGCTCATAGCTGGTGTTTAGAACTACCTTCTTCCACCATCCATTACATATTCCCTTTGCCCTCAGCAAGCACCTCAGTTGGCCTTGGTTCTTTGACTGATGGGGTGACCCAGACCTTCATTTCTGAAGGTTCTAGGCCATTAGTCATGTTGGAATTGGGTTGCTATAGTTTTTCATTAACTTTAATCACAGGACGTGGTAGCACTAAGAGGCATCCTAAGGAATTTCTTATATTGCAGGCATACTCTTCTTTACCTCTATTATATATTATCAGTCTGATTGCCCCTTTGTAATCAGGATCAATCACACCAGCCAATATAGTAACTCTCTTCTTTGCCAGCCAAAGGCATGAGGAACCCAAAGTGGCCAGGTGACATTCTTAACTTCCAGTTCAATGCAATGAGTACTGTGTCTCCAGGTGGGCATGTCCTCCATTGGAACTAAGACCTCCAACCCGCAGAGCATAGAGTTGCAGGGACATGAAGGAAAAATTATGTAAATGGGTCCTTAGGGGTAATAGTGAGTGGTGCCACTCCCATTTACACCCATGGATCCTGGACCCTTGAATCCTGGCTACTGGGGAAA